ATATATATATATATATATAGCCTCCTGATTAGTCGGTGAAACTCCGACGAAACAGTTTGTCACAGCCCCTCGTTTGTTGTCCTCTTCTCTCTCTCTGCCTACGGTTTTACCGGCCAGTTCTGTTTGTGACGATATATATATATATACATATATATATGTATATATATGTGGATATGTTTATATATGTATACGAGGGGTTATGAAATATGAGACTATCACTTCTCACAACTACTATAGGGTTTCCTTCAACCATTATAGTTATGCTAAGCAAGGGTAGTTCAAAAAGTCAAGTAGGAGTTTGCATGGTATAAGACGATCACTCTCACAACAATTGTGTGTCCTGTTCATCCGCATTCACACAATACTTAGACTATCACCAAACTCAATTCAAAGATCTTATAAGCATACCTGCAATCGCACAGAGTTCAAACAACAACATCACACACACTAAGGGAGTCAACTTTACTGCTTTCTACGACTCACATTCTGCCTTATGCATACAAGCCCCAACCAATTTCCACCATCCCTCAATAAAGGTACTCAATTTGTAGAAATGACCACTTAAAAAAAAGTATGGGTGAAAATTCCAAGAAATATAAAAACCCACAAGAGTCAAGGTCTTAGGTTGAGATGTAGAAGAAGGGAAGTTGTGTCGTAAACCGACCTGTTATCAAGGGATAATAGAAGAATGATCTTTCGTAGGACCAGGCTAAACAAATCAAACCTTCAATCGAATTCGTTAACCTGCACCATAGTTCAGGCCAAAGTGGACCAAGTACTTCGTTCAAAACAGATGAAGGACCAACACCACTTCATAGCCTATCTCCTTTACTAACGTTTACCTTACTTTCCTTAGAGGTCATCGACAACTTTGACATTGTCTTGCCAAAGTTTTCCCTAGCAGAAAATAATCTAACTCTCTAATTTTAACAAAATTTCGGCAGCGCTTCCCGTAGGAAAAGTGTCTTTTTATAATTTTCAAATGTAAAAAAAATGACTAACTTTTTCAGATTTGTAAAAATTTCGACAACTCTTCCCGTAGGAACAGGAGACTGCCGAGATTTATACAAAGCTAAAAAAATTAATACAAAAACAAAGTACAACTATACTTGGGACTAACTTCTGACACTCACTTGAAAGTTAGAGTTTGTGATAGTTTACATGATCCTCTTTTGAAGATGGTATCGCGAGCTACCGCTAGTCCCCACTTCTAGTAAGGTCAGTCCTACCATATCCCAAGCTTCCTTTCCCATCATCAATTATAGTTTATCTATGGTTCCAACGCTCGGCGAGCATCTGAACAACTGACGCTACCAAGAGATGCCCCAAAATGAGTGTCGCTCAATCAAACATGCATAATCAATATCCCTCTCAATCCCACATTTGGCCAAGTAGTTCATTAATCTCTCAGTTCTTTCAACCTTCAATAAAAACCCCTTTCCTATGACATAGGATTAGACCGCCCCAACTTAGGGGTACGTCTTACCTGCCTATGCAAAACAAATAAAGAACGCACAACTAGACTGCCCCAACTTAGGGGTATGCCAAGCTTACATGACTAAAACGTATGTCCGGACTGCCCCAACTTAGGGGTATACCCAGCCCAACATAAACTGTGAACATAAAGCATATGACCAGACCGCCCCAACTTAGGGATACGTCTGGCTTCTGCTTAACTGACGACATGAAGCATAACACTAGACTGCCCCAATTTAGGGGTATGCCTAGATAGCCTTAAACAAAGTTTACATAGGGCATAGGATGAGACTACCCCAACTTAGGGGTATGCCTAACCTGCCTAAACAAACATAAATAACGAATGGTCGGACCGCCCTAACTTAATGGTACATCCAACCTACATAACATCAACAACAAAGGGCATATCGCTAGATTACCCCAACTTAAGGGTACGCCTAGTTAGCCTAAACAGTTTAAGATAAATAAGGTAATACGACTCGACCGCCCTAACTTAAGGGTACGCCTAATCTGCCTAAACAAGTAACAGACGACGTATGACTAAGCCACCCCAACTTAGGGGTACGCTTAGCCTCCATAACAACACTTCAAACAAGCATAAGTATCTGCATAAACTTTATAACTTTTTTTCTTCTTCGGCAGATAGTTAGACCTACCCTAATTAGGGAGACATTCAACACTGCCTTGTGTTTAGAAGGGAAAATAAAGAAGTTTTATACTAACTGTATGTCTTTTCATGTTATAACGGGTATACGATTGGACCGCCCCAACTTAGAGGAACGTTCAGCCTGCCCAGGTTACCTTCACATTATATTCATCACTTGTTTTTCCTTCTCTTTTTTTTCATACCTGGCTTATTGACTTGACCTCCCAACTTAGGGTGTTTGTCTATCAGATGCATATAATATATATATATATATATATATATCGTCACAAACAGAACTGCCCGGTAAACCGTAGGCAGCGAGAGAGAAGAGGACAACAAACGAGGGGTTGTGACAAACTGTTTCGTCGGAGTTTCACCGACTCATTAGGAGGCTGAACCCTCAACAGTCTGCAGAATCCCCTCACGGATTACACTGTAAATGATAATCTACCTTAACCAAAATCAAAGTAGACTATCACTCACCCACACCAGATGAAAAACTCTACAGACTATCGGTTCAATATATATATATATATATATATATATATATATATATATTTGTTTTTATATTTTGGATTAGACTTTTAGGTTCATAGCTTATGGCTAGGCCGCTCCAACTTAGGGGTACGCCTAGTCTCATGTCGTTATCCCCCTCCGAAAAAAACACACACAGAACTGGGTCTACGCAACTTCAAATATCCTCTGTCTTGTTTTCAGCAACCCAAAGAAACATCAGGAATTTGAGCCTTCCCAACTTAGGGTGTTTGTCCTCCTGTTGAGAAACCCCAAAGAAAACAAGTGGTTGGACTGTCCAACTTAGGATAGGCCCAACCCTCAAAGGTCATACACTCAGTCTAGAAGACAAAAATAAAACATATCGTTGGACCCACTCAACTTAGAGGGATTCAGCCTTGGGTTAACTCGGTCAAACACATGAAAAACATCTTTAACCCACCTTTCCCCATTCATCTGTCTGAATTCACACAAATAATCTGAGTTTATTTTTCATACTTGTCAATTTTACCTTTCAGATCGTGTCCTGAATTCAAAACAAACAAAAGCAATTAGTTTTCTCAGTCATAGTTACAGGCACACAATTACAAAAGGTAATACGGTTTAAGAGAAAGGATCACACATGTAAAATGAAATTATACCTGAGTGTTCCTTGCCTCAAGAACCCCGCCTGGGTTCTGGCAGAGCTGCTGCAATCGGTGGGTCAACTCTCCACAGAGTCTTGATGTGGTCATACGGGTTGCAACCCCGCCTGCCGCCTTCCTCTCATAACCTTAGACTAGACTTAGAGTAAGAAGGATAGAAGGAGGGGTTTTCAGACGCTCGAGATACAAGAGTGGGACAGACTCAACTTGCAAGAGAGGACCTTGGAATCTTGAATCTCCTGAGGAACCCGCAATGATGGTCGAAAACGCAACAAAGGATGATCGAT